TCCTCTCTACGCTTAATGAGAGAGGTAAACATACAAAAAAATACTTAGAAGAAGACTGTGTAAGTGTTGTGGTGTGTGACGAGGCAGAAGCTCCCCAGCTCTCCTCCTAGCGCAGACGCACAGAGGGAAGGACAACCAAGGCCTATCCACAAATATTTACAGGTTTGTAATCCTGCAGCATCCCTCAAATGAACGAGGCAGGATTTCCCACCCTTGAGCGTTTTGTGTGATGTACTTCTCAGCAACCCAAACTCTACGCAAAGCCAACGATGAAAAGGACAGGGCAGCGCGTGCCATACGCCGCCATTCCCTAACGAGGTGACCGATAGCCATGGATGCCGTCCATGGGGATCCGCACGGGGGTAGGGTTTGGTTGCTGCAGAAGTGGGAAGGCTAAGCCCACGCTATCCGGTAGCTTCAGGCATCCTAATATCTTCTCCAGAAACCCGGATTTCCGCTTCCCACCTTTCTAAGAACACCTGCTGAAACTTCATCACATGTAACGGCAATAAACAGGAAAGAGAAAGTAGATACGTCGTATGTGTGTGCGCTTATTTCTACGAGAGCACAGTATGTGAACCAATAAACGCTCCACTACATTGCGATCGTTGCTAAAACCTTCATCTTAAGACGGTAGGGTTGGGGGTTTTTTTTGACTTAGAACTCCTACGCTCATTCTGTCTGCCTGTTTGAAAAACGTCCAACAAATTCCCAAACGTTATAAAATCCTGCAGGAATACCAGATGTCCTGCCAGATTGAAAGCTTCTTCCGAATAGCTGGAGTTGGACGCTTTCACAGCCATCGCATCTTATTAAACTGACTTCATATAGAGCGAACGCAACACAGTACATCCTATTTAATTGCCGAGAGTGCTTTTACACAACGTTTCCCAGTTTTTATAACAACTTCACTGACAACAACAACAACAACTTTAAATACTTTTTAATCTTAATGTCTAGTTTGTTGAGTCATCTGTCGTCGATTACTGAAACCTTGGATACTTGTCCGCCTCGGCTAAA